GGCCTGCTCCAAGTAACAGCCTGTTGGACCAAGCTATCACACGTTACAGGCCGGGCTCGAGGAGTAGAAGAACTCTCGAGACCTTCTTCAGGTAAGATCCAGATATACTCGATGTTAAAGGGCACGTTGAGGGTGACAAGTAGTTGTTTGAAATAATTCTGGCACTGTGCCATGTGAAGCAGTGAAGGAGGCACTGTTCAAGTGCCACTGGAACACGACAGTGGACTCAAAGGTGGTAGGGATGGTGGTGGTGTGGTGAGTGGTGGTGGCGCGGTGGTTGTGATGGTGGTGGTGTGGTGAGTGGTGGTGGCGCGGTGGTTGTGATGGTGGTGGTGTGGTGAGTGGTGGTGGCGCGGTGGTTGTGGTGGTGTGGTGAGTGGTGGTGGCGCGGTGGTTGTGATGGTGGTGGTGTGGTGAGTGGTGGTGGCGCGGTGGTTGTGATGGTGGTGGTGTGGTGAGTGGTGGTGGCGCGGTGGTTGTGATGGTGGTGGTGTGGTGAGTGGTGGTGGCGCGGTGGTTGTGATGGTGGTGGTGTGGTGAGTGGTGGTGGCGCGGTGGTTGTGATGGTGGTGGTGTGGTGAGTGGTGGTGGCGCGGTGGTTGTGATGGTGGTGGTGTGGTGAGTGGTGGTGGCGCGGTGGTTGTGATGGTGGTAGGGTCGGTGAAGGTGGTCGTAAGTGGTCAGTAATTGTGGTGGTCTTGGAAATTTGTCACCGCGGCTGATGCAATCCTCTGCCGCCCCTGTGTTGAGCACCGCTGTACAAGTGGTCACTGTAGGTGGGTGGTCGTGGTGGGTGGTCGTGCAGGTGGGTGTGACTCTAATGGTGGCATTCAGGTGGTGATCCTGCTGGTTGGGTGATGTGAGTGAGTGATCCTGGTGAGTGAAACTCTCACAAGTCGAGCCTGGCCTCGGGCCGGGCTTGGGGAGTAGAAGAACTCCCAGAACCCCATCAACCAGGTATCAACCAGGAGGATAGGTAGGTGATGTACTCACCAAATTTTACTCGCCTAGTTGAGCTCTGGCTCTTTGGTCCCGCCTCTCAACCGTCAATCAACTGGTGTACAGATTCCTGAGCCTATGGGGGTTCATATCTACATTTGAAACTGTGTATGGAGTCAGCCTCCACCACATCACTGCCTAATGCATTCCATTTATTAATTACTCTGACACTGAAAACATTTGTTCTAGCGTCCCTGTGGCTCATTTGGGTACTCAGTTTCTACCTGTGTCTCCTAGTTCGCGTACCACCCGTGTTAAACAGTTTATCTACCCTGTAAGTTCCTCGGAGAATTTTATAGGCGGTGATCATGTCTCTCCTAACTCCTCTGTCTTCCAATGTCGTAAGATTTAGTTTCAGTAATCTTTCTTCTGAGCTCATACCTGTCAATGATTCCTTACACAAGTTTCTGAATGCTTCCTTACATAAGTTTCTGAAAAAAAGTGTGAAAAAAATCTATTGATCGACAGTCCAGAGGCGGACCGAAAGAGCCAGAGCTCAACTCCCGCAAAACACAACTAGGTGAATAGAACTATGTGAATACACCCCCACCCACCCACCCACACACACACACCTAGGAAGCAGCCCGTGGCAGCTGTCTAACTCCCAGGTAACTATATTTACTGCTAGGTGAACAGGATCATCAGGGTGAAAGAAACCCTGCCCATTTGTATCTGCCTCTGCCGGAGATCGAACCCGGGCCCTTAGGACTACGACCCAAGAGCGCTGTCCACTGTGTGCGTGCATGAGTGTGCGCGTGTGTGCGTGTATGTGCGCGCGTGTGTGTGTGCGTGTGTGAGCAAGTATAACGTGCCGAGACACTCTCTTTTTATAGACCTGACTACCTCGTCCAGACACCTGACACTTCACACTGCCCACCACCACCACACCACCACACCACACACTTCACGCCCACACCTGACAACACCTCAGTGTGTGGCCAGTGTGGTATATGGGGCGATTGTGAACAATTACAATAATTATACACAATCATAAGTAAACACAATCACAATAATTTGCTGTTGTTACTGTACTGTCCACCCACATTTTGACGTGTAATTCCCCTGTCTGTGTCAGAAAGTTGATGTCGACCATAGCGGGTCGCCAGACGTATGGGACGACCCGATTTCTGTTCCTGGGTCCTCGAGTAGGTTAGGATCGGGTAATTTAGTACAACGGTTTAGCGACGTAGTGAACGCTCTGGTGATCGTGGCGAGTTGATCATCAGTCTCCCACGCTACCCAGTCATCAATCAGAGTGAGGAGTTATGATATATGATCGTTTGTTATATGATTACAAGCGTTTAGATTGATCGCTAAATGGCTCAATTTGTGGCCCAGTCTAAGATGTGATGCTCTTTATTTTACTCACCTAGATGTGCTTGCTAGGGGTTGAGCTCTGGCTCTTTGGTCCCGCCTCTCAACTGTCTATCTGCTGGTGTACAGGTTTCTGAGGCTACTGGGCTCTATCATATCGACGTTGGGAATTGTGTAAGGGGCCCTGTCTGTGTCCTCAAACTTTGTATATTATCCCTATATAAATCAAACTGCTAGAGATACTTGTAGCCACTCCGGAACAAGAGTGACGGGGGTGGGGGGGGCCGGAACAAGAGTGGGGGGGGGGGGTGGAAGTTTTAGCCAGGAACACACAGGGTGATTCGGGTGGTGACGTCACCAGGCATGCTAGCGTAGGAAGTGAGAGGGGGGGGGGGTCACTGTTATGGTCCGTTGGGGGGGGGGGGAGAGACGTGGGTGCTAGGACGGAGGTGGTTTGGCGCGTTCATATACGAGGGGAAGGAATGGAAGGGGGGGTGAGGGATTGATATGCGAGGGGTAGAGGAAGGGGAGTATATCCGTAGCAAGAGCCGGTTATACACACTCCCCTCCAGCAGGATGTTTGGACGTCTCGTCACCAGAGGGCTCGGGATTCCTAGCGTACCTTGTCCTTATTAGGTGTCCCAGTAGGTCGTGTTGTTGGTGTCACACTGACCCGTCATACTGCAAGGTCACCATAGCGTCACCTGACCCCTTATTGTCATACTGGGCCGTATATAGTACTGCTGTTTAACAAGTGACAGGATGAACAACCCAGCGGGTTTTCTTCCTATTGGGGAGTGTTGTACATGCTGCTATGGCGGTGTGTCCTCTCACAAGATTTAAAGTACTGCTGTTTGTATGACGTATTGACTCTTATGTGTGAGTGTATATGTTGTATAAGCCGTGTATTGGGTCAGCCCGTAATCCTTACGGGCAATTCATGCCCATGCCACCTCTTGGGTGCCTTAATCTACATCAATCAGTCCGTCATGTCGTGGCTGTGTCGCTCAAGCCACAGTTGTGTCGTTCTGGTGTCGTGTTAAATATAATACTTTATATACATTGTTAAACGAAAAAAATAACCGACACGTGTGAATGTTGTACTGGGAGAAATATGAGGTAATTATGAGAGAACATGTGAGGTGGTTATGAGGATAAAACGCAAAACAACACGACTATGTAGCATTTAGAAGGGATGTGAGGGCCAGGGGCTGGGATATGAGGACCAGGAGGTGGGATATGAGGACCAGGAGGTGGGATATGAGGACCAGGAGGTGGGATATGAGGACCAGGAGGTGGGATATGAGGACCAGGAGCTGGGATATGAGGACCAGGAGCTGGGATATGAGGACCAGGAGCTGGGATATGAGGACCAGGAGCTGGGATATGAGGACCAGGACCTGGGATATGAGGACTTACCCACTAGTTTTACACACAGGAGGATACAAGAGTAGACGACTTCTGACCCTATTAGCAGGCTGTGAGCCCTCCCTTCCCATAGCTCATAGTACGAGTGCCAGGTGTGTAGTGGTGTCAGGTGTGTAGTGGTATCAGGTGTGTGGGGAGACGTGGTGGGGGAAGGTCGTCCTCTTCATCAGCCGGAAGCTGTTATCATGCTTGCCAAGGGGAGAAAAAACAAACAAACAAACACAGAAGGCGAACAGTGAAGAGTGGGAGGTTCGTCAGTGTGTGTGGGGGGGGGGGGAGGGGGCGGGGGAGGGGGGGTTCACCCACGCCCACACACTCATGGACACACCCACCTATGGGTGGATATAACTCCTAGCTTACCACCTTTTGGGGGGTCCAGTGTTGGCACCCCCCCCCCCCCTTGTGTGGGGGGGGGGTCTAGTGTTGGCACCATCGGGGGATTGAATTCAGGCCAGCAAGAAGCTCCATCATACCGACCAATCAAAGTGGATGAAAACCTTTCAAGAACGGTTGTGTTGAGTTTGACAGATCTGAGCTTGACAAACTCAGATCTTCTGAATTTGATAGACGATTCTCCCGAATAAAATTCTAAATGCATTCCAGGGTGGTTGAGTACAGGTGTAGCACACATTCCTGGGAAGTTGTGGGCAGGTGTGGCACACATTCCTGGGAAGTTATGGACAGGTGTGGAAGACATGAGGCATTCAAAGTCGTGCCAGAGAGGCTGTGAGTGATAACATCCTCACTGTTCTTCTTGTACCTAACATTTACCTCTCGGCTAAATCTGTCAGTCGTGGATGCCTTGAGGGAGGAGGATAGGGGGGCTCAGGTCAGTGGGGGGGATTGTTTTGATTTAGGAAATAGAGAACAGGGCGATTACTAAACGAGCAATTCAGAATATTTCTTGTACAGTTCTTTAAGGTTATAAATACTGTTCGTGACGTCACAGTTGAAGCACACTAGACAAGTGCTTGAGTGACCAGCATTGCTAACTCGATGGTCTGACTCACGAGGTGTACAAGCATATATTTTTGTGGTATGGATCACAGACCCGGTATGTTGCAACATAGTGTATGTGTGTGATTCTAGACGTTGGTATGTTGGGCGGGGGGAGGGGGGGTAGACACGGGCTAATGGCACGCTGGGGGGGGGGGGGTAAACAAATAATGGTAGCGTTCGTAGCAGGAAATGCGGATGCGTAGGATGGGGTAGCGCTAGGCTATGCAGGAACTGAGGGGATATAACCATGTGTTCTCCCGCCCCAGGCTCAGTGCCCTGCGAGCTCTGGTGGCGGTGGGAGTTCGCTGCTCTTCGCTGCCGGTTGCCATCACTGTAGTTGTCTTCCTATTTGTGCTATAAGATTTTTTTCGAGAACATTATGCAGTGTCAAGTATTAAGAAGCATGTTGATAAGATGGGTTGCTTTCTGGCCCATAGCTAACTAGATTTCGGGCTTTCGGTAGAGGATTATAAATTTTGGACATAATGCCCTCATTTTTTTGAAAATAATATTTAACTGTAATGTTTAATGAACGTTTGATCAGGCGAATATTATAACAAAATATTGATAAATACGGTACTTTGGTTTGTGGAGAGGCTGGTGTTGACGCCCTCCCTAGTGAGTGATATTCTTTGTACTTTAAAAGTACGGTCCGTAGACCTACTTTGTTGTTGGCGTCTCCCCTCGCGGCGCCACGACCTGTCGTCCCCTCACGGTGCTACGACCTGTCGTCCCCTCGCGGCGCTACGATCTGCCGTCCCTCACGGCGCCACGACCTGTCGTCCCCTCGCGACGTGTAACTGACAGTCGTCCACAAGTAACGGTAAGCCTAACATTATACCTTAAAAACGAGCCTTATATTTGATGGTGTTGATCAAAGCTTATGGTTTAATTTATGTTAAGCGTTGGTTAGACATGTGAATGAGTTTATGTAAAAATAAATAGCTTCCTCGACAGTCAATAGGCCTTCAGCAGTGTAATTATGGTCTTGATGTGTCTGCTGGCTAGGCCTGTACCATTGCTGCGAGGTGGTGTCTTACAGCTTGGTTCGGTTCCCCTTGCCGAGCACCGGAAATCTATTGGGTACGAAATTTCCTGTATATTAGTCAGTGGGGAACGGCCAAGTCGTACACAGACGTTTGCACACAGCTCGCGTCTCTAATTGTTAAAGTCGTATACATAATTGGGATAGGTAAGGATGGGGCTGGTTAGGTGTCGGTGTGTGGGGGTCTGAGGGGATGCTTCTAGGTGTCTGCCTTCACCACATCACTTCCTAATGCATTTCATTTATTAACTACTGTGATACTGAAATTATTTTCTAGCGTGTGTGGCTCACTTGGGTACTCAGCTTCCACCTGTGTCCCCTTGTTCGTGTACCTCCCGTGTTAAATAATGTCCTTATCTACCTTGTCAATTCCGCTAAGAATATTGTATGGTGTTATCATGTCTCCTCAGTATTGACTCCATGCTAGAGCCGCATACTGCAGGATTGGTCTCACATATGTGGTGGACAAGGTTCTAAATGATTCCTTATACAAGTTTCTAAAGGGAGTTCTGATGTTAGCCAGCCTTGCATACGCCGCTGATATTCTTATGTTGTGGGCTTCAGGAGACAGGTCTGGCGTGATATCAACTCCCAGATCTTTGTATTTATTTCGTGGAGGACTTCGTCTCCCATTCTGTGCCCTGAGTCTGGCCTTCTGTTCCTCTGTTGGAAGTTTCCTCACCTTACAGGTATTTGGGTTGAATGTGTTACAAAGTTCTTTTGCTCCAAATTTTCTTCTAGTTTCCTTCGCACAATCTTCTCCATGGCCTTGCATGGTATGCAAGTTAGCGACACTGGCCTGTAGTTCAGTCCCTCCTGTCTATCACCCTTCTTGTATCCTGTCTATCACCCTTCTTGTATCCTGTCTATCACCCTTCTTGTATATCAGGACTTCTTTTTTTATTGTATTTAAAAAGCAAAGTATGTACAAAAAATAAATATACGCCAAACCCAAGCCGGCTTCCAAATTGTTGCAGTTCTGGTGTTACCAGTGACTTGTTAAACACCATTGTGGCAGGCACAGTACTTCTGCTCCTTTTAGTATCCATGATGAGATTCCTTCCTTACCTCCCCCACTGGTCATCTCAAACTCCTCCAGTGATGCCTGGTTAGATATTCCCTCTCTTATCTCAGGAACTTCACCTTGATCTAATGTGAAGACTTCCTGGAATTTCTTATCGAGTTCCTCGCACACTTCCTTGTCGTTTGTGGTAAACCTGTCTGCTCCTATCCTCAGTTTCGTTACTTGTTCCTTCACTGTTTTCCTTCTGATGTGGCTGTGTAGCAATTTAGATTGATTCTTTACCTTGAGTTGTGTAACTACCTAAGTGGCCTCCACTAGTGAGGTGTGTGTGTGTAATCTAGTTGTGCTTGCGGGGGTTGAGCTTCGGCTCTTTGGTCCCGCTTGTGTGCGTGCGCGCGTGTTTGTAGGACTGGGAGGGGGTCTGAGGAGGTATCCCTGGTGGGTGGGGCTGTGGTGGTGTCCCTGGTGGGTGGGGCTGTGGTGGTGTCCCTGGTGGGTGGAGCTGAGGGCAGCGGCCCCAGCAGGCTGAGGGCTCGCCTGAAGCACCTCACAAGTTAAGTACACAATATTTTTTTTGTTGTCAAGAGTTCTCCGTGAATATTATATTACTTCCCTGTTGCTCTTGTCAGACTTTTGTGTAGGCTAGACGCGGTCTAGACACTCCGGGGCGGGTTGTCAGTGTTAGTGGGGCAGATTATACTGCCAGAGGCTGATGGTGCATTCAGTACAATGCGACTTGCAGTGGTAGTTATTGCGTTCGATTCGCTACTGCAGGTCGGCATCATGGCAGGGCGAGACGTTCGGATACGTTTGGACATACCTGATGCCTATGTTCACCTACCAGTTCTAACCAGGCACCTGGGAATTAGGCAACTGTTGCGGGTTTCATCTTGTAGGGTAGAAAATGCCAGTTTCTTTGTAGACAGTAGAGGAGCGTTGGAGTCTTGAAGCTTTGAAGAGAATGACAATGGTGGACAGCAGTAACACACTTAAGCATTATGCAATAATAAACACAAATTCGTACTTCACTTATGGCAGAGGAAAGACTACTTGGAAGGAGTCAATTTACATGAGATTAAGAGTAGGATATAAATATTTCTTTCAATACGGTGTTGATGTCAGTGACTAAGATAAGGAGTGTAAATTATGTAGTATCCCGCACACCCACACCTTAGAACATTATGTATTAGAGTGCCAACTTATTGATAACTATAGAAATAAGGAAATAAGTAGTGTACCACATCAAATTGTTTGGATGTGTGATAATGGTATGATTGACAGGATACTTAGGAGTTACAAGGACTTTGCCACAAGAATGTAACACTTAAATGCTGTGTTTACCATTTTAATATTTTTACTATTTTATTATTTTTACTATTTTAATCTGCAATGTAAAACTTGAGACTTGTCGTGTAATTTGTTGTTTTGGACTCACTGGACTTGTGCGCCCCTCGAGGGACTTGAAGTAGAGGAGGGTAGAAATAGCCTAAGCCACTCTATCCTTCTGAGATGTAGTTTATTGTCTCAATAATCCTACTTGAAGGGCGTCTCGCCGGAGCATCACTAGTGAGAGAAAGTGCAAGAAAGTGTTGTGTCTACAATAATAGTTTAATGTGTTTCAACATGTTGTTGTTGTTGTTTAAGATTCGCTAACTGGAACATAAAAGTTCCAAGTAGCACGGGCTATGGTGAGCCCGTAGTTTGTTTGTTTCAACAGTTTTTCTCGTGGAGGGTATGCTAGGGTATACGTGGAGGGTATACCAGGGTATAATAATTTGCTCTTAACCTTGTGACTAACTTTCCCGTGTAACAGTGACAGGAAAAGTATCCAAACTTCGGCTGGCTGTACGTTCACTTAATGCTTGACAGATATAACTGGATATATGTTAACATGGTAAGGTGTCAAGAAGCCTGACACTGTTTTATGAAAGTGTTGTGGCAGTGGCAGCGACGACCGGGCCGCGGGGACGCTAAGCCCCGGAAGCACCTCGAGGTAACCTCAAGGTGGTTCGTCCTAAGCTGAAGTGTTGCACGCCATTGGTGCAACACTTCAGATAACAGGGGCGGAGAGTGCAGGAATTTACCTGTTGTAGATTTCGAGATTTTTTTTACTCTCACAACAACCCGACTTGGTTGTTCGGTGGCGGTTTGATCAGTTAGGCTGTTGATAGAAGCCGCTCGCAGGCTCACTCATCCATCGCGATCTAGATGGATCCGGCACTTTTTGCAGGAGCTTTTAGAAGGTTGTTCAAAGGGTCGTGAATCCCCTCATAGCTGGGAGAGGAGATATTGAGATTGGTTCGAGCAGCAGTCAGACCATCCTACCAGACTTTGTTCATTGGTATGTGATGATGACATAATCCTCGGCCGGTGTTGCAAGGTAGCTCCATATCCGGCCACTGAACACGTTAGCATAACCGTACTTCCGGTTAGTAAACCATCAACAAGTTGAAGTGATCCTCTCCGTGCTCTCAACTTTGAACTTGAAAAAGAGGTTTGTGTGCTTGTGAGATCAATTGAACTCTGGCGCATGTGTGATAGAGTTAATACCAGCCTGAAGTCCCCCTCGAAGTAAATTAACGTTGCAAGAGTCGCTCGCTCTCTTGACACCCTCTTTTGTTTTCTTGGGGCTCCGGTTAAAAACGGCGATCGTAATCAGTTTTCTATGGTATGCACGAGACAGTCGCTTGTTTTGTAGACAAAAGCCATTTAGTTTGTTTTCTGTGGAAGACTATAATTTTTTTTAGGGCGTGAGACAGGATTACAGACACAACCGGACTCATCAGGTAGAGGATTAAGAACACGAGCCAGGAGAAACCCGTTCCCCCTTGCTCCCGGTTCCCCAGCTCGTGTTCCCCAGCTCGTGTCCTCCCAGCTCGTATCCTCCCAGCTCGTATCCTCCCAGCTCGTATCCTCCCAGCTCGTGTTCCCCAGCTCCCGTCTCCAGCTCCCGTCCCCATCCTTGCTAAATGTATATCTTCCTGGACATCAAATGGATGAAGTGTGTGACATAACCTCTCAGGCGCAGACGGGTGATAGAGGATGGTTGAGGTCGTCGGAGGGTCCACACAGGACCTGTGGGGACACCTCAAGTAGTTTTGTGCCCAGTTACCACACCTCTACATCTGTCCTTAATCATGGCGACTTAGTCAGTATTTATTAGAGAGTTTACGAGGCAGGAGACGCTGCGAGGGGGTCTTTCTCGGCCCAAGATATTATCGTTAAAGACAACCTCGTACAGGTTAAGAGCTCGTAAACTGTTTAATGAATACAAACTAAGCTGCCATGATTGAGGGAAGATGTAGAGGTTTCGTAAGTGGAGGCTTAGATGTGTGGTGATTTATAAATCATTTTGCCATCTAATGCACTGTATTACGGACCCCCCCGTTTGTAAAGACCGTACAGTGTCGACCGTGTGCGTACATTCGTTCGAAATTCTCTGGTTTCCGAACAGACCACCCGGGTCGCAGTGGCACATTCTGGTGCGGTTGGGCCGAGTGATCGGCAGCCCGTGACGAGGCCTCTTAGAGGACCCTGTTTCAGAAATATAGGTGGCGCCACTGGTCTCCTCCCCCCCCCTCCCCCCACCCTCCCCCATGGTAAAAACGTTGTGTGGTTAAATGTGGCCAGCATGGGAGTGTGGGGGAGGGTATGGGAGGGACGTGGGAGGGGGGAGATCCCACTGAAGTTTCTCCCCACCTTCAGTTGGGGAACCCACTGAAGGATCAGGAACGTTTAGGCTGAGTGATACATC